TCGGCATCCTGTATCAAAGCACTGATTCAAGTCCCAGCTCTTCTGCTTCCAATCTAGCTACCTGCAATCTGCCTGGGATGTACTTGAGCCCAACTACTTGGTCCCTGCCATCCAAGTGGGAGACCTGGATGGAGTCCCAGGCTCCTGGTTTCAGCCTGGCCCAGCCATGGCTATTCCAAGCATTTGGGGAATGAACCAGCAGATAAAGATGTGTCTCTGACTCTGTCTCTCTGCCTCTCTGACGTTCTGCCTTTCAAATAAAGAATCTTTTCTAAAAAGTGAGCCAACCAATTCCTGTCCTTTCAACATTAACTGAAAAGTATTATTTGTATGTTTTACTATTTAATACTTCTTTAAAACAAATGAATCTTAAAAGAACATTTCACATCATTATATTTTTATCTATGCTTTATATTTTCTATTTCCTAAGTGGATCAAATTTCCCCTTAGTGATAATAACACCATTCCATGTACATTCACAGTCACATGCCATAGTCTTTTCATAATATTTAAAAATGTGCATTGTTTATATCCCATTTTGTTACAAAGGGGACCTGAGATAGCTAACTAAAACTCAGAGGAATAAATGGTGAACAACTAAATAGACCTCAAAAAAAAAAATCAAGGCCCAATGGAAATAATGAGAACTGAAATAAAATCCTCACAGTAAATATCAGCATAGCACTTCTTGGTCGACACAGAAACTCCATGTTTACTTATCATCTCATTTTATTTATCAATCACATTGCCTTACATGTCCATGCAACCACTCCATGAAGACACCCACTATACAGATAAAAAAAAAAAACCTGAGATTTGGAGGATTAAGTATTTTGCTCAATGTTACCATGTCAAATCACAGTTAGAACTTCCACAGATTTCCAGAGCCAGAACCCATGTTCCTTAACTGTGCGGATACCCTGAATCAACAGACCTGGAGTCCTTCAGATGTGTGCCAGGAAATCCCTTCAGCTCTGGAGCTCACTTTCTCTGCAGCAGAGTAGGGTGGACTAAAACTCTTCAGGCTCTGATCACTGCTGCACTGCCTTTCCCTAGTCATTTTCCAAATTGATGGATTGTATGTACCCTATTTTTAATGTAAGAATTCATTTTCAATAGAACTTTTTTTTTGTACACGTGACAAACAGATCCTAAGTCAGGGCAGGCTTCACATTTATTTATAGGATTAACCCACAGACTCAAAAAAAATGTCAGACACAGAAGACCCGGAGAGGTCACTCGGTGGAGCCCCTCCTCTTAGCATCCTTTTTTGTACACACACACTGCAGGTGTGCCTAAGTCTGCTGTACTGATAATCACATGCATAGAAAACTAGTATGTCCATTCCAGAAGTAACTTCAAAACAGCAGGGAACTCAGCATATGTTAAAATACATGGCTGGGGCCGACACCATGGCACAGTAGGTTAATCCTCTGCCTGAAGCACCAGCATCCCATATGGGCGCCCGTTCTAGTCCTGGCTGCTGTTCTTCTCTGCTATGGCTTGGGAAAGCAAGTGCTTGGGTCCCTGCGCCCACATGGGAGACCCATAAAAAGCTCCTGGCTCCAGAACAGCCCAGCTCTGGTCATTGTGGCCGTTTATGGAGTGAACTAGCAGATGGAAGACCTTTCTCTCTTGTCTCCTCCTCTCATTGTCTATAACTCTACTTCTCAAATAATAAAATCTTTTTTTTTTTTTTAAATACCAATGGCAGAAGCTGTTTATTTCAGGAACCCACAGGGGTTCGATCCTCAGCCACCTGCAGGAACCATGCACTGGCACTGTTTTAGAAATTTCTGCCTACTTTTGATCTCCACAACAGAAGAAAATCATATGACAGTTCCAAGAAGATCGCTAATGGAAAACAAAGGACTTAGGTAGATTTTCTAAGCCTTAAAGAATCAAGAGGGCCTCAGTGCTAGTACTTAACTGACGCTTCAAGTTAAGGTCCACCGGCACAGACTGCTGCACCTTCCCCAGAGGCCTCAGCTCTGAGGGCTCCTGAGAGGCAGGCAGTTTCGGGAGCCCTGAGTTTGTTGCAGACTCAGAGCTAACCAGATTGTGCTGATACGCATGCCTGGGAGCCAGGCGGATAACAGATGCAAACCTCAGCTGCCTCACTCTGGGGGTGTGTGACCTATCCAAGGTAATTCCGGTCTCAAAGTCCTCACCCTGGAAAAGGACAGTGGGAAGATTAGCTGCTCAGTAAATGACACCTCTCATTCCTGATGTTATTATTAACTGCAAAGAATAGCCATCAGCCACAGCAGGAGAAAGGACCTAGAGCTGCAAAATAATGTGTTATACAACAATATATCACAGACAATGACCAGCGAGGAAGTAAGCAGGCTGAAGCTCAGCCCCCTGGGAAAACAAACCCATATATTAGATGATGCCTCAGCATCTCTCCTGAGCTCTGGACAGGGGTGCCTCTCTCTAGCCCAGTAACTTCTAGGGAAGGTGCTGAGCATCAACACTGCATGCCCCTCACAGGGATAAGAGAACCTGCCCACGATTTTTCCTGCCATCCTAGCTAGCATGAAGACAGAGTCAAGCTTCTCTCTCGGCAGAAATGGCTCCCAGGGCACTGCACCTGAAGCAGCTGTCCAATACCAGGCAATGATGCCACCCTACACGCCAATTTCCTCAGGCTGTCCATGTAAACATGGGGCTTGGTAAGTAGGATTCCAATGAGAAAACGCATGGGGAAACATAGGAAAATACGTAGTTTGGAGGATAAAAGCTGAAATCTCAGTGACTTTTAATGTGTCCCAAGAAGTCAGATCCCTAGTAGCAAAAAGATCCCAACACTGGGGTGACTTGAAATATTAACAACTTCCCCACGCCTAGAAAAAAAGGCAGGAGCAAAATGCAACAGAACTGCTCAGAGGAAAATTTCAGTTCATAGTTTTTGAAAAGTGCCTAAAAAAAAAAAAAAAAAAAGAGAAAAGGGCTTAAGAAGGTCAAAGACTTCTTTTTTTTTTTTTTGGACAGGCAGAGTGGATGGACAGTGAGAGAGAGAGACAGAGAGAAAGGTCTTCCTTTGCCGTTGGTTCACCCTCCAATGGCCGCCACGGCCAGTGCACTTCAGCCAGCGCACCGCGCTGATCCGATGGCAGGAGCCAGGTACTTATCCTGGTCTCCTATGGGGTGCAGGGCCCAAGCACTTGGGCCATCCTCCACTGCACTCCCTGGCCACAGCAGAGAGCTGGCCTGGAAGAGGGGCAACCGGGACAGAATCCGGCGCCCCGACCGGGACTAGAACCCGGTGTGCCGGCGCCACAAGGCAGAGATTAGCCTAGTGAGCCGCTGCGCCGGCCGGTCAAAGACTTCTAAAATACACTGAACCCATAAAGCGGAGAGTACAATGATAGGACATGAAAGATGTTGGGTAAAGTAGACAGACACATTTTTAAGATATGTAAGTTCTGGGAATCTAAGTACAGTATGGTGACTGCAAATAATAACACTGGATTATGCACTGGGAATTTGCTAGATAACACATCTGAAGCTTTCTCACAAACCAAATGCTAACCCTGTGAAATCATGGAGAGGGTAAGTAGCTCGACTGTGGTAATCACTGCACAATGCATACATGTCAAATCCTCACAATTAACATTTAAATATGTACAATTCTTATTTCTCAATCACAATTCAATAAAGCTGGGGAAAGGGGGGGACATCAAAGAAGGATTCCCCAATACAGAAATTCCCTAATACATACTTCAGTGTTGCACAGTGTTGGAATCAAATCCCAGCTGAGAAAGCGAGAGCAAGGTAAATTACCCATAATGTGAACAGTTCTCCCATAATACTGACATCTCCTGGGGAGAGGGGGTTTGGACCTGTTGAGCCTATCTTACATGTTCATTGCCCTCAACATACGGACACATGGTAATCCAGCCTCTCAAGGCTTTTTATGCCTAGAATTTGCTGCTAATACACTACATGATGGAAATGGTTACAACCACAAGGCAGAACAGCTCTAGAAAAAGGCTCCTTCCTTGGTAGAGCAAAATGCTTTGTTTTACTCCAACTAGTAAAAGCTTTTAATTGCACACTATTAAAAATATCCAGAGTATCCAAAGATCAATACTCACTCCAAGCAAAAAAATGCTTCCAACTGTGCCAACACTGACTGTGAGCCCTTTCTTCCATGCAATCATATAGATTCTGACATTTTTTCCCTCCCAGAATGAAAATTCATCACAAAGATCACTGCTATCCAGAAGGCTGCACCCAGCATTTTTTTTTATTTATTTATTTTTATTTTTGACAGGCAGAGTGGACAGTGAGAGAGAGAGACAGAGAGAAAGGTCTTCCTTTGCCGTTGGTTCACCTTCCAGTGGCCGCTGCGGCCGGCGTGCTGCAGCCAGCGCACCGCGCTGATCCGATGGCAGGAGCCAGGTACTTATCCTGGTCTCCCATGGGGTGCAGGGCCCAAGCACTTGGGCCATCCTCCACTGCACTCCCTGGCCACAGCAGAGAGCTGGCCTTGAAGAGGGGCACCGGGACAGAACCGGCACCCCGACCGGGACTAGAACCCGGTGTGCCGGCGCCGCAAGGCGGAGGATTAGCCTAGTGAGCTGCGGCGCCGGCCCAGCACCCAGCATTTTCTAAGCTGCTCAGCACGTGATGGACAAGGTGGGAGGCAGAGAGGCCTCATCCAGTAAGCTACCTGTCGACCTGACACTGGCCAGCTGGGTACTCATCCACAATGACATTGAAAAAATGAGTAAAATTGGAAAGAGAAAGCAAATTCATGCACATTTCTTCACAACTCCTTGTAGCCAACCCTTGGGGCTAAAACAGCATGAGTGGCAAAGCGAACAATTTTCTAAATATTTTTCACACTATGCCTAGGCATGTGCTGAATTGGGCATGCTCGTGTGTGTACACATGTAAATCTGTATGTGTATATGTGATCCCCGTGAGTATGCATGTGCAGGTGCATCATGTGGTTCTGACATACCCAGCTCACTCTTAGGGTAGTATCCTACCTGCCACTGGTTTCCAGTCTGACCAGGCACGTAAGGTGCTGGGAGGCTCCGAAGGGTGTTCTTCACTGGGGATCCCCCGAGGGGACTTCCCACCTCCCCAGAAGAAGAATCGGCAGCCAGGGCCATGGAGTACTGCGGGTAGTTGTACAGATTGTTGTAGTACGGGAACAGAGATGGCTGGTAAAAGCTGCTGTAGTAGGTGGAGTCTGAAACCAGGTCAGGTGTGTTCTCCACGTGCCCTCTGCTGGTGACAGCAGGAATATCCTGGATGACCATACGCCCCTCTACAAAGGAAAGAAGAAAAAGAAAATGACAACATGTTATTAACGCGGGGGCTCAGAAATCTCTACCTTTGTATCCTGGCAGTGTCACCTTTCTTCTCAAGGTCTGTAGATCAAGGTACCTGATCTGTCGCTTCTGCAGGCAAAATACAGGTGGGTTTCCATGGCTGTCAGCACTCTGGGGACACAGCTCAAAGACTCACGCTGATTTCTATCTATTTATTTATTTGAAAAGTGGAGAGACAGAGAGAGAGAGACATCTTCCATCCACTGGTTCACTCCCCAAATGGCCACAAGAGCCAGGGTTGGACCAAGCCAAAGCCAGGAGCCAGCAACTGTACCAGGGTATCTCACATATGTGGCAGGGGCACAAGCACTCTGGGCCATCATCTGCTGCTTTCCCAGATACGTTACCAGGGAGTTGGAACGGAAGCAGAACAGCTAGGACTCAAATTTGTGCTGATTATGGGACGTGGCTGGCTTAATTTGCTGCACCACAACGCAGGCCCCATATGTTGGCTACTTTCACCGAGAACATCAAAAATACTTAAGGGGCAAATTTAACTAGAAAAAAAGCACAGCAGTGTAATTTCTATCTAGAAATACTCATCACTATACAAGAAACTGGAGATCCAATGTAGTGAACATGACCACATGTTCTTATGACAAAGTTAATTGTATACATTTTAGGGGTGGGTGTTTGTCTCAGCAGTTAAGCTACCTCTTGGGACCCATATCACAGTGCCTGGGCTCAAGTTCCAACCTGCTAAAAAGCAGACAGCAGATGATGGCTCAAGTACTTATGTTCCTGCCACCCTTGTGGGAGACCCAGATTGAGTTCCTGACCCCTGGCCGTGGCCTGGGCCAGCCCTGGCTATTGTGGGTACCTGGGAGGTCAACCAGTAGATGGTAACTCTCCCTCTCTAACTTTCAAATAAATTTAAAATTTTATAAAATTGACTGGATAAACTTTCAATTAAGTAAAAATAGTCCAGCATCCAAACTATGGCAGCCACAGGGATATGTGAGAAGTCAAGGCAAGATGTTAAGAGTTTAAACAGGGCCGGCGCCGCGGCTCACTAGGCTAATCCTCCGCCTAGCGGCGCCGGCACACCGGGTTCTAGTCCCGGTTGGGGCGCCGGATTCTGTCCTGGTTGCCCCTCTTCCAGGCCAGCTCTCTGCTGTGGCCAGGGAGTGCAGTGGAGGATGGCCCAGGTGCTTGGGCCCTGCACCCCATGGGAGACCAGGAAAAGCACCTGGTTCCTGGCTCCTGCCATCGGATCAGCGCGGTGCGCCGGCCGCAGCATGCCGGCCGCAGCGGCCATTGGAGGGTGAACCAACGGCAAAGGAAGACCTTTCTCTCTGTCTCTCTCTCTCACTGTCCACTCTGCCTGTCAAAAAAAAAAAAAAAAGAGTTTAAACAAACATTGTTTCCTTAACTTCCTTCTAGAGCTGATACTGTATCCTTCAGAAGTCTGGACAATGCTATGGACCAGGGTAGATAAAGTTCTCCCAAAGGTCAGTTAGTAACTATTTTGGGTTTTATACACCATTCAGTCACTGTTACTACCTGATTGTACTGCAATAAAACTTTATTCACCCAAAGAGGCAACCCTGGCTTAGCTCAAAGTCTAGCTCAGTAACCCCTGGTGTCATCTTTAAACGTTGTGAATTCCAGTAAATGACGGAACAAATTCCTACATCACCTATCCAATGAGCATCTATCAAACAAGCTTCTACGCGTCGCTCCAGTGCCTCCAAGGGGCTCTGAAGTGTCATCCAGCCCACAGAGAGTCTGTGGGTGGGAAATGGTGGGATTACCGGTATTATTACCACCAGTTATCATGGGCTTATGAGAAACACTTGTGAAATATTGAAATTCAGAGCAAGGAAAGGTAGCTTGCAGCTTAAGAAAGAATTAAGGAGATCTTCATAGGGTAAAACAATGCATTTGAGCTACACCTTCAAAGAGCAGGAAATAGATGGAAAACAAGAAGAAAGGATGGGGAAAAAGGCAGCAAGGACAAAGGCATGGAAGGTGAGGGGAAGTCTGGAGTAATGGGCAGGGCAGGCAGGTGAAACAACTAGGCGCCAAGCAGGGCAAGTGCTGTGGGGCAGGTGGCTTGGAGCCAGGGGGGAGTCTCGCCAGGCTGGTTGGACTCTGGGATCTAGCTGCCCCACTGAGGACTTCTCAGCGAGGGGCTTACAGTGTCACGGAGCTGTGCTTGGGGAGATTCAGCTCACAGAAATATGTAGGACAGAGGGAGGGCGAGCCCAGAGGCAATGAGAACAGCTGGAGAACCACTCAGGTAGCTCAGGAGGCCTCACTCAGGGGGCTGCAAATATTAGAGGCAGTGGGTTTCACGGACACGTGAGGGACGCAACTCAACAGAATAGAGGGCTGATGGGATTTCAGGACAAAGATAAAGCAGGCAGGCAAAGAGCAGCAGCTTGGGTGCAGCTGAAGAGAGGGGCTGGGAGGTGCTGTTATCAGAGGAAAGAGAGCCAAGGCCGAACTCCTGGAGAACAGAGGACACGATGTCAGAGGCCCAAAAGGATCTCGGAACAGGCAGGCTGTGGTGTGTCAACTATTACAAGATCAAGAAATCAGTCCTGGGCAAGACTGAAGACAACCTGGTCTTTAGGGCCTCATGGTTTCAGCATTGGGGACAGGGCCCCTTAAAGTCTACCCTCCAAAAGCAAGATTCTTCTTTTTTTTTTAATATTTATTTTATTTATTTGAAAGATAGAGTAACAGAGAGAGGTAGAGCCAGAGGGAAAGAGTAGTCTTCCATTCTGCTGGTTCACTCCCCAAATGACTGCAACGGCCAGAGCTGAGTTGATCTGAAGCCAAGAGACAGGAGCTTCTTCCAGGTCTTTCATGTGGGTGCAGGGGCCCAAGGACTCGGGCCATCTTCTACTGCTTTCCCAGGCCACAGCACAGAGCTGGATCAGAAGAGGAGCAGCTGGGACTCGAACCGCCACCCATATGGGATGCTGCAGGCTGGGGCTTTAACCTGCTACGCCACAGGATCAGCCCCATAAAAAGCAAGATTCTTAAAAAAATAAATACAGGGGCTGGTGTTGTGGTGCAGCAGGTTAAGCCACTGCCTGCAACGCCAGCATCCTAGTTCAAGTCCTAGCTGTTCCTCTTCTGATCCAGCTCCCTATCAATGGACCTAGGAAAGCAGTGGAAGATGGCCAAGTGCTTGGGTTTCTGTCACCCATGTAAAAGACCTGGATGGAGTTCCAAGCTCCTAGCTTCAGCCTGGTTCAGTCCTAGATGTTTTGGCCATTTGGGGTGTGAACCAGCAGATGGAAAATCTGTCTATCCCTCTCTCTCTGTGTAACTGTCTTTCAAATATATGCATAACTTTCAAATATATACATAAACTAACCTAGGAAAGGGAAGGGGGAGAGAGGGGAGGGAAGGGAAGGAAAGGAAAGGAAAAAGGAAAAGGGGAAAAAAAGAAGGCAGCAGACACAGAATTAAGTAGCAACCCACGAATCCAGCCTTCTAATATCAGGGCACAGCACAGGTTGCTGAGGTTCTGCTGCATGACCTTAGTTAGACCCTTTAATTAGGCCTCAGTTTATCTAGCCACAAAATTATGGCAGCAATAACTCTCAAGGTAACAAGAGAATGACTTCAATAAACTGCACAGTAAACCTCAAATAAAACACTATGTCAGGTCAAAGCAATGATTTGTTTTGCTACAGCGGCCTGTAATTAGTTAACATCACCATCACTTTTCCATTTACCCATATTTTATTTCCTACTTCAAGTTATAATGAGCCTTAAGAACAAAATGAGATATATGTTTGAAAAAAGTTCCATTTAAACCGGTATTTAAATAGCACAACTATTTGAGCTTTGCAAGAGCAGATCCCCACAGATTTTATACTCTTAAAAATGGTTAAGCAATTTTAAAAGTAAGTCTTTAAGAAGCACTGTATAAACCAGCAAGTCTATCCTTTAAAGCTCCAAACTGAACTGTTAAGAAAAAAAAAGATTTATTTATTTACTTCCAAGAGTTACACAGAAAGAGAAGGAGAGGCAGAGAGAGAGAGAGAGAGAGAGAGAGAGAGGTCTTCTATCCACTGGTTCACTCTGCAACTGGCCACAATAGCCAGAGCTGCACTGATCCGAAGCCAGGAGCCAAGAGACAGGAGCTTCTTCCAGGTCTCCAACATGGGTGCAGGTTCCCAAGGACTTGGGCCATCTTCTACTGCTTTCCCAGACCATAGCAGAGAGCTGGATTGGAAGTGGAACAGCTGGAACTCAAACCAGCACCCATATGGGATGCCGGCACTGTAGCTGGCGGCCTTATCCACTATGCCACAGCATCGGCCCCACTCCAAACTAAACTTTTTTTGTCACTGAAACCAGCTTTGTGACTCCCAGCCTCGCTCTGCACCCTACTGGCACATGGAGATTCCCCAAGGTAGAAATCAACACCCATAGAACTACAGATGTCTAACCCAGGTCTCAGCAAGTGCGGTCCTCAAATCAGCAGCAGCAGCATCACCTGGGAGTCTGCAGAAACACAAATTCCGGGACCTTCTAAGTGAGACATTCTATGGATGGGACCCAGGATTCTGGATCTAAATAAGCTCTCAGCAAATTCCGAGGTTGAGACCCATTAGAGCCAAATCAACTGCTGCCCACATCAACCCTAAAGATACGTGATACTGATATACCCCTGGACTGCATTACAGAGCTGGCCTGAGTACAGGAAATGAGTATACAACGTGTTCTGTGTAAAGAAGTTGAGCTCCTACCTAAACTTCTGCAGAGCTCAGACCACAAGCTGTGTGTGCTGTCTGCTGTGGACAAACCATTCTGATTTCCAAGGCATGCAGCCAGCTTTCTTCATTTATTCTAAACCCAAACACTGAGTTCACCTATTCAAGTGCTTATTTCATTTCACCAATACATATTAAGCACTCACTATTTGCCAGACACTTGACTGCCTGCAACACTACAGAGTCAAACATTACTG